TGTGGTTACCACATACTCACGGAGAATTCAGGTTTTTTATAGTAAGTACATGATGTCATGTTTCGTGCTTTACTCAGTCTGACGTCTGAATTATTGGCTTTAATGCCCCCACCATTTCCAGGGGTACTGCAGCATTTGAAGATGTGCAGAAATACTGACAAGCTGTGCAGAGTACAGATAGAAGGCTTCATACGGTAATCAGCCTGCTCTACGTCACATAAATGACAGCGCAGTTTACAGTCCATTAAACAACAAAGCTGGATATACTGATGGGCGGAGCTACCTGCTTTCGATTAGTCTCTGCCCACTTCCCAATCAAGAGAGGACACAAAGAGGTGCTGATGTTGCTTTGCTCAGTGGTTATATAGGGCACCCCATATATAGAGAGACATATACTCCTTAAAGCAGCGGCCTGATTCTGCATGTCATTCCCCACGAACTCCACCCACTTTCCTACCCCATCCGCTGTCCTATCTTGAAGTCCAGGCGTACAAGCTCAAAAGTAAACTTCAAAAATGGCAGAGACCTGGTGCAGATTACCTAATCAAGATATAACCATTAAAAATGCACTGGCCAAATATCAATCTCAAGTCTGCAGAGTGTTACAAAATGCAATAGTTGATGTTATTTTTGCGAAATCCAGCTCTTATGTGCAGTTCATCAGTACAACGCTGACCCTTACTCCACCTTTAAGGTTGGGTTCACAGCAAAACAGTGAGGGGTCAGACACAGCAGTATGTCCTAGAAGTGAGTACATAAACTCAATCCGCCACCAGGTAGGTGACACTACGTCAGAGCAGTGTGTTTGTTACAAAGAGGAAAGATAAACAGCCTACAAACACACACATGGCTTGCAGAGTCTGATGCGAGGAGCCAGGCACACACAGATAGCAAGGCAACTGAGTGTGGTGGTGCAGCAACCAGGAATGCAGGAGGTAGCATCGGCTTCCCACTGGTCTGTTTCTACCGGGGCAGAAGAGCAGAGACTGCTGCCAGTGAGGCAGACTACGCAAGTGTCACCCGTATGACAATGAGAATAGATAGGCCATGGGTTTCAATTTGGAGGTTTCCACAGTGAGTGCTTCCTTTATCGCAAGAGGGATGTTGATTCCAGAGAAGGAAAACACTCTGCTGCCTGCAGATTTTTTGATTCTCTGGACAGTGAGGTAGCCACTGTGCCATGATCTGAGGCCATGGGGGGATTACATGATGGATGATGGGAGTGGATAAATATTGTGGTGTAAGCCATGACGATTTAACCCTCACACTTTTGAAGAAAGGTGTGGATTAAATTGGAAGCCATTAAAGGATGCATCCATATGTGAAACTTATAGCTGTGGACTATCAGCAACAGACAGCAACACTTCTGTACGCAAAAATATGTCGATTTCAGGGTAAAGTAGGGGAAGATAACATTGGGGAAAGGGAAGTAGATGAAGTATTGTCAATCAGAGCAACAGCTGTCAGTGATGGAGTAGAAAGACGATGATCAGGTCCACAATCAGAGATTTTTATCTGTCAAAAAGCACTGGGCTTTCACAGATGACCATCATTTGAGTCCGGTGTGTTGTCTGAAGATTATTTTTTTATTGAAACCGTCCTTTCACACAGTCTCGATCCTCGTATTTTGCATTAAAATACTGAATCTGTTGGCGCACAGCTAGATTACAGTGTCTGAAGCATCCAGGTTTCTGTTTGTAGCCAGCGTTTAATTGGCCACAAGCATCACAACAGGCTTTTATGATATGAAGGAAAATGGTCTGCATGGAAAGCAGGAGGTGGAAGTTATTGGCTGTGATGCAGTTCTAGTTTTCCATCATACGATGATATTCTACCTCTCATTAATCTCTTAAATATCTGCTTTCAGCTGCAACGGATAATTTGCTCATAATTATTGCCTTTCATCTCACACTCCAGGCTCACTCCTCAAGTTGGTTGTTGGACTGTAAGCACCGGCCATGCATGGGAAAAAAAAGAAGCTATTGATGCAGGAAAAACTCAAAAGTATTGGAGCCTTCTGGGCGGCTAGAAACGTAAACTTTTGAAACTGACTTCCAGAAAACATCACCACTTTCATCAGTGTGTAAACTGGCAGTATGCAGATCCTGTGAATAAAGCGAATTTACAGCCCCGCTTGGATTATGTGTCTTCCTATGGATTAGCTTGACTGCCCTGTTGTTGAATGTGTAAATGCATAACGTGTCTTTATGGATCTATGTGCATATAAATTGTTTTCACAATTTTGTAATACAGTCACTTTTTTTGGAATATGTAATTGTAAACAATGCCGTTACTACCTACACCAACATTTTGATATAAATGACGATATTGGACAGCTGTCGAACTAACTTTAAAATTTTCTAAAATATATAGACATGTGTGTGGGACTTGTAAAATTCAACTCTGTGCAGGCTTGAACTACCAAACATAAATTTGTTGAAAAGAAACATATTTCAGATGTTCAATGTCCACTTTTCTTCATGCTTGTTCTGATTGATCGAAAAGCACATCCATATGCAAGGATGTCAACTGGGAGTACAATCGTGTCACAGTCAATCCAGCAACAGATAATACACCCAGGAGGCGCCACTGGTGTGTCATCTTTGCTGCTCTGCGAAATCCCTCTGCATTGATTCCTAACCAGGCTTTGTTATGCCTATCGATGGGGTAATGGGCTTGTAAAAAAGTTCTTTTTCTCTGTTGTGGGGGCTGCCGTGGATTGTTCCACAAAACAAGCTTGCAGACATCTCCTGAAAGTCCCCAGCTGGGCAACTCTGCTGTGCGCAACACCTGTGGCTGGTTGGTTTGCAATGAAACATGTTTGAAACCTGATACTCCACACTACAAGGCCATATAAAATTCATTTCTGCCTGGTGTAAATCAAACAAAAGATATGCACATTCGGTTATATCTTTAAGAACCGTTCACTCAATGCTTAAAAACCCACTCCGATGAAAATCACATTTTTCTCATTGTCTACATGTTCATATGGAATTTTTCTGATGCTACAGGACATATCGTTAGAAAACTAAATGCGTAATTGCATTTCTCAACCCCAATTTTCACTGCACCCTGAAAGGCTGCAAAAAGGCTGTATCCGCTGATCATAACCATTCGAGTTAATGTGTCAGTTTCCACCGGCTTCTGTAGATCTCTGGACTCCGCCCGATAAATTCAGCACAGATTATTCCGTGCTGGAAAGGAAGTCGGGGACAGACACGAAACAAGACATCCGGCTTCTTTTCAAAATTAAACACTCTGTGTTTCAGGCAGATCATATTTCACACCATGCAATACTCATAAGAAAGCTAACAATGATATTAATTTTCATCATGTCCCAAATAGACATTAGAATCTGAATGTTACCTGCCACTTCTACTACACCGGCAATGTTAGGCTCAGAGGCGAAGTGCTAATAGGCTACTGGAGCTCTGCAGAAGAAAAGCTCTTAAAAATGACACAAGTAACGTGATTTTGGCTAAAAACTTCATAATCACTATTTAAAGACCACTGAGAACACTTTAAGTAGTAAAAAATAAAACGATTGGAGTGGAACTTTAATGAATTTTTAGCATCCTCCAGCACACCATTTTCCACCAACCATTTCTTCGAAAGGCAGAAATAAGAATCCTCCATGTACACGTCTACAGCCTCTTTCACACTTGCACTTCACTCTTGAAAACAGTATAAGATTAAAGGCTTCATGTGGGAAATCTCAGGATTTGTTGACTCAGACTTTAAGTGTGAAGTGTGGGAAGTTTGTGGGAAGCCTGCGTAAGCAGACGTACGGCCACAGCAGGTAATAGTCCTGAACGGTTACCATGAGAGTGTGGGTGGGGCGATGACATTTTCATAGGTTTTGCTGCTTTACACCCATCACAAAAGAGATGTTGCCTATTGCATCTAAAACACCAGAGGGGGTAGAGAAAGGTAGAAGTAGAGCATGGTCACAGACTGAGAGGTGATATAGAGAGGAACTCAAAGTGTGACAGACAAGTCGGAGGACACTTTATGATGAGGCTTTATCCCCCCTGCGGTCTCTGTAATGAAAGAAGGAGGTGAGGAAGTGTTTGAGGGAAGATTTGTGAGGAGTGAGACAAATAGAGGAGAAGAAGGTTTCAAAAATACTGTCAACCGACAAAGAAAACAACATACGAGTGAAAGTTACCAGTCACGTCACATCTACATGGGAAGTAGAGCACCTCTTGTACTTTTCCAATAAAGGGATATTACGGCGTAAAATTAATTTAGGGTCAAACACACCGTAACGCAGAGTTCGACACCCCCTTAAGAGATGAATGTTGCCGACCGCTTGCTTCTCTAGTTATACCAACTTTAGTAACGACCGCACCATAGCAACACACAGGGGTCTGAGGAGCCACAAACAAACCTCAACCAAAACACCACTCTATAGCCACAAATAATGCTCAGAACAGCACCTAACTTCATCAACAGGACATATAGGGTCCCAGCCATAGGACTAGCCACCAAACATCTTTTTAGCTTTGCCTAATTTCTTTAGCAAAGAGACTAAACACAACTTACCTACTCTCTTCCAGCAGCCGCTTGTTTGTAGCGAGACCTCTGGCAAATCTATTACTGACTGCAGCGGGGTGACGGATCTCAAGGAAGAACATTTATGATCATTACTTATCATTTTCTTAAAGTAATGATTACAATATTACTCATTTTGCACTGCAGACGCGGTAGTTCTTCTGCCTTAGCATCTCGTTCTGATTGTATTTCCATGAAGAAATGATCATAAATGTTCTTCCTTGAGCTGCGTCACCCCACTGTAGTTCATAATGGACTGGCCTGAGGTCTTGCTACAAATAAGTCGCTGCTAGAAGAGAGTAGGTGAGTTGTGTTTAGTCTCTTTGCTAAAGAAATCAGGCAAAGTTAAAAAGATGTTTGGTGGCTAGTACTGTGGCTGTGACCCTATATGTCCTGTTGATGAAGTTAGGTGCTGTTCTGAGCATTATTTGTGGCTATAGAGTGGCGTTTTGGTTGAGGTTTGTTTATGGCTCTTCAGACCGCTGTGTATTGCTATCCTGCAGTCGTTACCAAAGTTGGTATAACTAGAGAAGCAAGCGGTCAGCAACATTCATCTCTCGGGGGGTGTCGAACTCGGTGTTACGGTGTGTTTGACCCTAAATTAATTTTACGCTGGAATATCTCTTTAATAATCAACCTGAATAACCAGCTGATTAAGTGGAAGAGTCTCATTTTGTCTCTTTCATATGTCACTACAATGTGATGGGAGTCTAACTTTTGCACAGATGGCGACAGCCGTGGACCTCGGAAGGAAGATGCTTGCAATGCACAATAAGCCATTTCATACTGGAGTAACCAGGTGCACACGGAGACGCACACAGCACACTCCTGCAGCTGTCAGCACTGTGAATTGTAGCAGTTATAGTGAGGGGCTGCATGCTATTGTGATCAACAAAAGCTGCTGTGAGCCTGCTCGGTGTGTGGAGCTGTACTGCAGGACTGTGTGTGCAAGCAAGAAAAAAAAAACATCTATTTTTACTCAACTGTTTTCACGAACAACTGCCTTGTCTTGTAGGAGAGTTTGTTTTTCAATCTTGGGTGTTGGTGTGGAAATCTGCACGACGGTGAGCTTACATGATATTCTCTGTCGCCGCACCTATTTTTGTGAAGTTAAATATGCAGCTTTATGAGCTTGTGGATGCAAGCTGAGACAAAGAAGCAAACAGTCTCTTTAATCTGACAGGGAGCGTGTGCTTTTGTTGGTTTATGGAAATTACACAGCACAGCAGAAATAATAGTGACACTGGCTTTGGCAGTGCTGTACAACAGGGAGCTGACAGACAAAAAAGACATGCAGAGACAAGTGGGAGATATAGTGATACAATGAAAAGTAGCTAAAGATTTGAAGAAAAACCAGCAAAGTAGAATAAAACGCAGGGAGTTAAGCATGGAGGACAGTTTCACTTTCATAATTTTGTCAAGATTCAAACCGAGCGATTGATCAGACTGAATCGGCTGCAGAGAGAGGCTGTGTTAAACCTCCAGTACACATTTACAAGCCCATAAAACTAGAGCTTTTTCTCATTTGTTAAAACTGATTTATGTTCTCATTAGAGCTCAGTTCTCCAGGAAATATGCTCTGAAATTCCTATCATCAGAGTGACTGAACACAGAAGTCGGATAACAAGAGTTTCTCTGCTAATAAATTGTCTTTGAGGCTTTAAAAGTTACAGCCTTCAATTAAAGAAATGATAGAAAGCAAGTCAGCAACCCCATGATAAAAGGAATAGCAGAATCGTTAATTTTGAAGATTAAATACATGATTCAAACTCTCAAAACATGTTTAATTATGAAAAAGGTCTTTCTGTTTTAAACAAAGTCTGCTAAATGTCAAAGTTTGTTGTTTTCAATGCTTCCCTGTCAAGCAGTGTAATAAAATGATATACTATGATAAGATGCCTTTAGGGCCTGTGCACACTGACAGAATTTTTTCTTTAGTTACAGCCCTCAGTTGGAGAAATGATGGAAAGTAAGTCAACAACCCCTTGATTAAAGAAATAACAGAATGATTTATTTTAAGGATTAAATGCATAATTTAAACTCTGAAAACATGTTCAATTGTTAAAGAGGCTTTTGTGTTTCAAACAGAATATGCTAAATGTTGAAGTTCTTAAATGCCGAGATCAGACTACACAATCTTTCTGTCTGTCATGGTGGTCGCAGCACAAGAAGGGGATCACAGACTGATGCTTTTTTATATTGTTGTTTTTCATTAAACAGGTGTCAGCAAAGCAGCTGGAGGAAGAGACCTGTTTGTTTTACTAATTTCAAGATTAAATAATCACAATAAATTATACGTTTGCAGAATGAGACTTTTTATCAAAAGACTCTATTTCTGCATGTTGCAGACAAGATAAGCAAAGACTGTTTTGACCACAAGGGGCGCCAAAGTTGACACAAACCAGCTACTCACAAGAGCTTTGAGGTAAAAAGGTCCTAGCAAGCTATGACTGTCTGATCAGGCTATCAGTGTGCTGACATGGCGTAGTCTGACTTTGACATAGTATGCTGCTTTCATCGCTGCAGTGACAGGGTACAGTATAATACAATGATCTAGTGTGATAATATGGTCTTAGGGCCTGTGCCCACTTACAGTGTTTTGCATTTTGGTTAGTAGCATCCTCAATGTTTCAAACCTCATTTTTATGAAAGAATTAAAAGTTGTTCTTGTTGTGGAGTTGCTGCACTGTTAACATTTTGAAGCACTAGTTAAGCTTAGGAAATAAGCACTGACAAGACTAAGTGGACACAGGCCCTAAAACTTGTATTTCCTCTAAATATCCCCAAACTTATAAGGATTCAAATGAGATATTAAAAAATACTTCCTTGTTTGTAGCCATGCGCTCACGTAATAATTAATTAATTGTCACTCCCAGTTTTACATTCGTTTAATCTGATGGTTATGATCACCGTCCTGCGCCCTATCTCAGATGAGAACTGTTGACTGATCCATCCACCTTTGCATAGACCGATCACAGTTTGTGACTCGTGACTTCTGGTGCCCGAGCTCTAACTTTGAACTGCTGAACCTGGCACAACTCTTCGTAACCTCCGGGACTCACCTGCCACCTGTCTTTTTAACAGACAAGGGTCAGTTGGCTTTAGCTGTGAGGCGCCAGGCCAAGCCAATGATGACATTCATTGCAATGTGTCTGTACGCCGGCCAAACCTTGACAGTCCTCTCCTGTTTGCAGCATCTTTAGCAGCTAAACTGTCTCCTTCCTGTGACAGGGGACCAAAGAGTGAGCTCTGTATTTCAAGGTTTTTTCTGTTCTCTGTACTTTTACAATTTCTTCCTAATCTCTGTGGTTAGTAAACCCAAATTTCTGTTTACACCTTCACATTTTAGCCATTTTTACTGTCGCTACACCGCTGATTTATTCCTTATTCTATTTTCGCGACGTTAAATCAATACTAAAATGAAAAAAAAAGCACAACAGTTGCCGCACTTTAAGAATAACTGGAAAAGCTATGTGTTGTCCCTGAATTGTACGAGCTTCAAGGGCACGTTTTCGTAATTGAAAATTCTCAGTTGTATGTCCACTAATCAACTTGAAGCTTTTAGTTTTTAGCTTGATACGTTGGTAAACTCTTCTCCTTATCCTTTTTTTCTTCTTTTATTTGATGAACACAACAAAAAAAAAAAAAAAACATTACACACCATTTTTAGCACCTGTCACAATCCCAGGGAAGAGGGAAATGAGACCTTGGACTGTTACTTGAGTAAAGAGATAATGTGGCAACAACTCAAAAAGAAAAACTGAACAATATAACAAACCTGAAGCCGGCTAAATAGAGTGAAAGGATTTAAAACTTTACAACACATTAAGACAGGAAGTGTGGAATAACAACTTCTTCTTCTTCAACCTTCCCATGTTGTTTTCTCCGATTGCTCCGGATTACACAATTCATTGACATTCTCTCCAGTTGATAGTGATTTCCTATTCAGGCCTTTGATGCGGGCCAGATTTAAACATTCTGTTTGTGCAGCGTCCATACCTTTGGTCTGTCGAGCGCTTGGCAGGATCGGAGGCTGACGAGCCAAGCGATCGTCACCTCCTCCTGAAAAGAGCCAGGGGTGCGCGAGGTTCAGGGTGTTCAAAGCGCCGCCGTCCTCCTTCATCTTCCTGTTTGATTACATTAGCGTAGAAAGTGATATAGATGAAAAGAAACGGCTTTATTTGTGAAGGTATGGGCGGATTTTTCTTTAAAATGTTATCTCTCGTGTCATTTTGAGACTTATTGGATCCATTATGTTAAAGTTTAATAAAATTACACTGAGGACACATTTTCCCAGGGTATTATGAGAAAGCAAATATACACAGGTCGCGTATACTCCATGTGATAAATATTCATACTAGGTAACTAAATGTGAGCTGAATCCCTCAGGCGCACTGAGATTTTAGTGCAATTTTTATCCCCTGGCTTTGTTTCCTCCACAATGATGTGTGTGTTTTTCATGGAGATTTCGCAGTATTTCAGGTAATTGCATGCGCTCACTCTTGGGGAAAAAGGGGTAAAAAGGGCACAGTTGCCCCAAAATTACCAGAGAGACTCAGCGGTATATTTCTTTGAAGAATTTGATTTTAGAAATTCACCTGTAAAAGAAAGATTCTAGTTTTTAAACCAGAAAAGATTGGCTTTACTCTCGACTCCTGACACAAGACGTAGCCTGGGATTAGATCAGAAATACTTTACCCCGATAAATCCAAATGTGTCGACCTTTCACCTCTTTTCCACACACTCTGTTTCATAAGCTTATAGAAGGTAATGCTATATTTCCCAACAAGCTCCTCTCTCTGTCTTTGTCCCTTTTCATTTTATTCCTGCATAGATTAAGATTTAATTTGCACTTCTTTCAATTTATTAATTCACCAATTAGCCAGGTAGGTGCTGTGTGGAGGCTGATGGGATTCATCACCACCTGAGATAAAAGAAAGGTATTAGAATATGTTAAAGCATATTTATGTAACGTTTCAAACAGATTTTTGGTCTTTTTTTTTAACAGGGACATGTGGGTTAAGTTTGTTGCAGATTTTAAATGTTATAATATTGGCCTTGTGAGCGCACTTTTTAACCAAAACAATGGGAAGATTGAAGCTGAAAGCAGGAGTCCTGGAAGAAAATGAGCATTACTGGGGTACCAAGAATATTTGGAAATCGAACAGTTGAAGCTGTCATGGCTCAACCATGAGCCTGTTGTTGTCGCAGCAAACGTCTGTACTGTCATTTCTGGATCCTGCCCCATACTGATCTCAACCTGTTTGGTAGACAGTTGCTGGTACCCGCTAATTGGTGCTATCCAATTTTGGTGCTTTGGTACGGTGAAATAAGTAGGTATGATGTTTCATGAAAGACCACTAATTAAAACTTGCAGGGAGATTTATTTGGCTGTGTCTCAGTGCCCCCTCTGCTGTAAGAAGACATAGTGAGAAACAGCTTTGCAAGTTAGAAGTAAAATAAGTATTTGCCAAAGTTGCTTCATGGCGATGATATCCAGATATCTCTGGAAAACAACAGGTGTGTTCTTCACATAACTGGGAAAACACCATGAAGACGTTCATGTCCCCACTGTGACGCCAGCTAACAGTTAGTTGTTTTTAGGTATCTGTCGCCATGGTAACAACCTGTCATGTAGTAGCCTCATCCAGGAAAATCTGTCATTTTTGTCATTTTTATTCTAAAAGAGATTATTAAAATAAATTTAGGAGATGTTTATTTGACTAATTAAATATGATTTCTCCCTTTACCAACCCAAACTATAAGACGTTAACCCAAGTGTTGATTTCAAGATGCTCCTGTTAGATTATAAACTTTTTTTTATGCAGTTATAGAAAAGTTTGTTGAATTCCAAGGTTAATTAGCAATTTTATCTTGGGGATATGCACATTATTTTAAGTTCATTGCACAAAAACACAGACTGTAATACTGAGTTTGAGCCTTCAGGGTATCATTGGATAATTTTTTATGAATTCATTTTTGACCCAGAAACAAAAACACTGCTTTTCTTTTTTGTAGTCCCAAATGGGAAAACCATTCTGCAGCCTCAGTCAAATAAATCAAAACCAAAGAACCTTTAGCTTCATTTTTGTCTTTGGTTTTTCATTTTCTCCTGAAAATATAGAATATTGAAAGGTCACATGGTTTGATTTACAGTGTCAAACTTCTGCCTTAAAACAGTGGCTCGGTTTTGTCAGCTTTGCATCAGGAATCAGAAAAAAAATCTGCCATATGACATGTTTTTTTAAAATATGGTTTATAACAGTGAATGGGACAGAGCACATGACTTTGTTTCTAGTTCAAAACCATAAAACCATCACAAACAAACGACTAATTATCAGTGTAACGCGTTATTAGCAACGCCGTTACTTTATTCAGTAACTAATAATGTAACGTGTTGTTTTTTTACGCTGCGTTACTCTGTTCCTTTTAGTGAGGTTTTTACAACAGCATATAGTTCCCATAACATTTAAGCGATCAATAAAGTTGAATTGAATTGAAAAAAACTAAGCATTTGTCACCCTCCAGCGTCACACACGTAAACAAACACACGCCATGAAGAGGACTGGACAGGTCAGGGCACGGCAAGAGGAGGAAGATAAGTTTCTCCTCGACAGCGAACATGTAAACTGTGTTCCGGGTCAGAAATCCTTCCAGCAACAGCAATCTACATCTAGAGAAGCGGCATGCTTCAACAAGGTTAGCAGCTAAGGTAGCTAATGCAGCATCTGAGACCGAGAGTCACAGCAGTGAGCACACAGCCACTCCATCCATGCAGCAGCAGTTGGAGTTCGAAAGATGGACCCACAGCCAGGCACAACTTGACAAAACAATAGCACTGTATGTTTATTTGTTTACTTGGATCTCTTTTAGCGATATCAGACTATCATTCAAAGAGTCCAATGGTAAAATTTTGGTATTAGTGTCAAGGTTTGTGCTCATATTGCTTGGATGATTAAATTTAGTTCTGCGGATGCAAATGAGTTACAACGGTTGTTTTAATCATCAGTTTGTTTTATTCAGCATCAGTACAGAGCTGAAATGACGGCTAGAGGGGAACTCAATCAGTCCACCTTTATGTAATGGGAGCATTGGAAGAACGTTTTCCAGTAACTAAAATTAAGTAATTATTCAATGATACCCTGACCGTCAACTCTGCTCTGGCTAGAAACCACTTTGTACTGCAGCAAACTTAACATGAAATCCTTCCAAGCACATGCAAAGGCAACATGCTGAAACAGAGCGAGCAGATGAGGATCCCAGACCTCATTGACCCTCAAGATAAGAGTTCAACCCCAGCTTGGTTTTTAACAATAGGCGCTGACAAAAGCAGAGGGAAAAAAAAGGCCTGAGAAAATCAAGCACTGGGTGTCGAGGGTGGGGGGGTTCTTATCTAATTGCATACAATTACAATCACCCAAAAGTGAAAAGGGAATCTCCGCCTGCAGGCTTTTAGAGAAACTGCACACTCACTTTGCACAGCCTGCTGTTGCCAACAACACATCAAAAACGGTTGGCTTGATCGAGGCTGCATACATAATAATCATGAAAATATTAGCACTATTCCAGACAGTTACAAAGTGCCTCACAACATAAAAATGCATGATGCTAATGTTGCCTAACTGACCTTAAATCAAGCTGTGTTTTCCAGTTTCAGCATTAACTAATCCCATTCACTCTGCTGCCTTTGCCATTGGGAGAAATTCTGGGTCCAGTCTACTTTTTCAAAGTACCTTGGTGACACGATGTTAACCATTCGTATGTTTTCATTCAGATCAAATGCTGTATGACAGGGGTGAAATTTTAAGATTCCTCTGTTGCTCTGAGTTTGTTTGTGTTTGTTTAGCAGCGTCTTTCCTGCCTTCAGGTCAAGGATTTAGTTAGCCCTTCTGTACCACCCTCTGTCTACCCTCCTCCTTACTGTCAAGTTGTTCTGCTCTGCGTGGGAGAGACCTTCGCTCTGGTCTTTCAAGTTTTTAAGTTGGTGTAAGCGTCAAAACTGAAATATTGTTCTCTGTAAGTGGGTTTCAGAAAAAAAGAGAAAACCAGTGAGAGAGGAACGCTGGTTGAGTTGACTGCACAGTTTCTTGGCAACTCATACTTGGCTTAAACAACAAATGTCATAAGCTGCTTATCATTAGTTGGAAGCTGTTCCTATGAATGTCGCTAATAACAACACAATAACAAATTTCAAGTGACTGAATGCTCGATTTTGTTAGTGAGATGATAGCAGAGGGAGTGTGTTTCTGGGCTTTTTACATTGTTTAGAGTCCCTGCAGACAACACGAACTGAATCCATTGTGTAGACTTCAACTATTTCCATCAGAAGTCCATTAGAGCTCCCTGAGAGTGTTGTGCTGTACTTAAAGACACAAGACTGTGTAATTGGGTCATCAATCCACGTGGAGTCCAAGTCAAATCCCCATTACCTCAGGATTTTAAAGAGGGCTGCCATCCTCTCCAAACTATTCATCACGTGTCCTGATGTTACAATATTGAAGCCATTGTTTCCTGGGACGTCTCTTAGATGGACCTGAGCTCCTTAAAACCCTCTGTCAAAACCACAGTCACTTATCTTGATGTTGAATGGATAGAAAGACTAGATCAGTATGTAAATCTTGTTTTTACCATCTAAGGCTTTTATCCAAAATTAGATCTGGTTTGTATTTTAACAATTTTGAGTAAGTACCACATGCTTTACTTCCGCTTATTCAGACCACATAAAGATCAAGCCTCCCTGTCTGGCCTATGGTTGCTCCAAATTGCTGCTGCTCACCATTTCACAAGCACTAAAAAGTGAGAGCACATTGACCCCATCATGACCTCCTTCCATTAGCTCCCTGTTTCCTTTAAGGTTCATTTTAGGATCTTATTTTATTTTTTTAAATCTTCAAATTGAATAGCACCACAGTACACATCTGACCCTCTTGAGGTCTGCCAATCAGCTGCTTCTTCTTTGCAGCGCTCCCAAAACTGCAGCACAAGTTACCCGCTCACATAAAACCATCCTCACCTTTAAACCTTGGCTTAAAATGTATTTTACTTCCTGCCGCTACATTATGAAAGTTGTCCTGTGGCACATCCACTTCCCTCAGTAGTCATCATTAGGCCGGTTTCAAAATGCTCTGTATGCTTCAGATTTGGCCTCATTAGTGGCATTTCAAAAAGAAAACCCCAAAATAATTGATAGAAATCTGGTTTTAGAAAACTGAAATAAGTGTACTGTGAGCTGAAAACACTAAACTACACTCAGTTTGAATAGAAAATTGGTGCTGCCATCGTAAAAATCTATGTAAGTGGACAACGTGAGTGGGATAAACTCAAAATAACCTGCAATCCTATTGATATGGATCAGATTTAAATGAAGCAAACATGCAGGACCATGTGGTTTTGGTCACTCAAGATGCTACAATTCACTTGTTTTTGGTTGACTATCAGTGGTCCAAATCTCTTTTACTTCCCTGCATTCACCCTGGTCAGATAACTGTTAATTTTCCTCTCCTTGATGGTTCTCTAATTTCGTCATGATTTTCGTTGTCTGAAAAGAAAACACTTGTTGCTGCTACTTTTCTGCCCCAAACTCATCATTGCTTCCTCTATGCTTGAGTTGGCTGGCCTGCATTGTCTTAATAACTGGAATGCATTTGATTATAAGGCGGTTAATGACTTGCTTCCCTTGCTTTTGCTATTGCCTTTTACTTATGAGGTCTGTTTTCTCAGATGTAAAGTGCATAATAATTAAAATGTATAATTATTAGGAGCGGAAGAAAAAATCGATATGGCATAGTATCGCGATATTTTGTCTGGTGATATACCGTATCATCTCATTTACCAAGTACAGATTTTTCAATTTAATTGCTAATATGAAGTCAAAGCTATGATAACAGAAAAAATAAAATCAACTCCTTGTCTAGTGAGGTTGGCAGAGGTTATGTCATAGAACAAGGTCTGTAAGAAGTGCGACATGAAAATAAAATACAGCGTAAATAAGACAAACATAAAGGAAAGTCAAATGCTAAATTAGCCAAACAGTTGAAAAAAGTTGTATAAATTACAATATATTGTATTGCAATACTCACTGTATTGCAAAACGTTAAAAATTGCAATAATATCGTATCGTGGCCCAAGTATCGTGATAATATTGTATCCTGGGGCCACTAGTGATTCCCACCCCTAACTATTATTATTATTGTTCCCTTTTATTCATGCTATTTCATTGATATGAAAGACGGTGCGAGCTACAGTCTTAACTCTGACTC